TTACGAGAAAATTCGATGCAGAGATTTATGATCTTTCCTCTTTCCCTCAGTTGTCAACGAAGTCCGCGACTTAATTTTGAACCCTTCAACATCACAAACGTACTATGCTTTAAGATATGAAACAGTAAACCGTCTATCTTCGTCAGACGGTTAAAGAACTCAAATGCTTCCCCAAAGAGAAAAATTAGGTGATAGATCACTACCATAATTATTATTTCGCCTTCAAATTTTAGTGGGTGGGGGACAAAACCACACGTGAAGCCGTCCTAAAATAAAGATGAACACTTGCTACGTCCAACACTGTTTGGATGGCCAATACCCGGACACCTCAATACCTCACTTAGCATGTAATGTGGAGAGAATAATGGATATAGGCCATCAAACTGGATCATCTCTTCTTCGCCAATGTGGTGCTATTGGTTACCTCATGTTTTATCTGTAGAAGCCAGACTCCTGGCTTTAGTAGGTCTTTGTTCAGATCATGGAACAGAACAATTGGGAGCGATATTCTCTTTTTTAAACACGCAAAGTTTTAATGATCAATAAAGAACAATAGAAAATATATGGTGCGCAAAATGAGGAATCAAATAAATACTTGAGCTACACTGTTTTGATATCGCCGATATGTTTTCACCCAACTGTTAACAACCCAACTTAAGTTGTTACAAGTTTACAGATATTCTAAGGTGTTCAGACTTCACATTCGTTAAGTGATTAGTATGATCAATTAGTTGAACTTTGTTTTTCTCATTTCCAGCTCAATTATCAAGGCCTTATCTCTATTTCAGTGTGTCCAACTGAGCTTATTCCTTGTCACAATTATAGTATAACATACTAGTGTTAACAAAATTGACGTGGAAAACACCTTGTAACAACGTGAAGGTGATTTGGTTATGTACTCCACAATACGGAATGTCATTATATGTGCTCGCGAGTAATGGCTTCAAATTGTTGCTTACGTCTTGGGTGTAGTCTGCACAACATTTTCTACAGCAAACGTGTTGAAGATGCCACAGGTATTCAGAGTTTGACAACGCTTTAACCGGTAACACCTAATATGAATCGTACCCACCAAGTGAAATCAAAAGACAGGAGCTAGAATGTTCAAAGATATATTTGATAGGCTACCAATATATCGAGGATCGTCTGATCTAGTCTGGCTAGCGATTGCAGGGTTTTTGAGCACGGCGTTCATACTCGTGATCTGGTGCGGATACATGACCGAGCGCCTTTAACTAGGTGAGTCCCTTAAAACTAATGTGGTCAGCATCCAATAACAAAAACTTACAGAGCTATTTATTTTGGGGATTTATTTATCGCTACAGTGTGATAATCAGGGATATTCAAATTATAGTGAGAATGAAGAATCCCAGAAATAACGCAGTTTAACCAAGGAGAACTAAGTGAGCACGAACAAACGCATTGCATTTAGAATTCGAAATCAGGCAGTCATGAAGTACAAAGGAGTCATTAGTTCACACAAACACTACATCCGCCACAGCTTAAAATGGAATCTAAGTTTTTGTAATCGATTGTACATCTTCTCCTTAAGTTCATTCTGTGTCTGTCTGACTGTGTATTTGATGTAGACTCTGTACGATCCAGAATGTACTCATTAGTATTGAAATTAACAAACGAATTCGGGACTCACCTGGGTCCTGGAATTGTGTGCAGTCACCATGTCGGTTGTGTAACAAAATCACTGATATCTAGAATTTGAACCACAGAATTTACAACGCTATCCTTCCCACGAAATAATTTTGGACCTTTACATCGCCAAGTTCTAAATGATGTGGCCTCATTTAAAACATCTCTCACAGTAATTAGAGGATTGATTAGAAGTGACTTCATGATAAATATAAAGAACATTTGATATGAAATCACACGAACTGTAATCAAAATGAAGCTCATTTAGGACTCGTGTTTCGCACTGAACAACTTGGATTGTTAGATATTGGTGGTTGCGTCAGTCAGTAAATAGATGATTACGCATCATACTGCAATTAACCGATGATCGGATGGGGAAAGAGATCATATAACGTCTTTACTGTCATTAAAGCTTGATCAGACGGGTCCTATTTCAACTCAAGAAAATAAATTTGTTATTTTTTTCGTATATAACCAACAGATGTCTAGTGTTACATATCACCTTTGTTTTTTTTAATCTCGGTCATTTTATTACACACCACTACACATTATCATTGTGCAGACATTTTGTCAGAGGTTATTTCGATTGTAGACGTCTTTGACGTAATTACCAAGTGAGTAAGTTTATGACTATTTATAAAGAAATGGGTATAGGATTCAAGTTGATGAGGTTATGAACCCTTATTGACTGATATGGTAGGGATATCCGTTACCCATGACTTTCATCCTCACACTCTAGTATAACATGCTGATAAGTATATGTTGGAACAAATAAATAGAGTTTCAAAGTTAAACATAACATAAATCCGTTACTGACTGCTGGTCTGAATAGTGTAAAGAGGTTCGGACTTGAGTGAATAGACCCAAATAGTGATTTTAATATGTATAATCAGAGATCAATGGAGTTTAGCAGTGGAATTCAAGAAGTGAGTTTTATCCTGAATTCACTGCTAATCACCATCCATCTCTGCTTAATGGCAATATCAAGGCAATTCACATAGGATTACATATGTTAGAAAATAGACCGATCAATTGCAGTCCTAAAAATCGATGGATGATTCAAACGACCAGTACAAACCTTAATCTGTCACTAGACTTTGAGCAATATGATTGTAAATCAGTTGAAATGGTGCTATTATATTTAGTCCCAGCACAGTACGTTTAGTTATTTCAATGAAACTTAACATTCTTCACAGCTCTATACTGATAGTCATCATGTGCTCACCTGTAACTAGCTTCGAGAGGTAATTCTTGGAGTTCTAGTGAGAAGCCGTGATTAACGAACTTCAACCGTGTTGAGTGTCAGTTGCCCACCAAAGACAATAGAAGACGATAGCGCAATATCGTGGATTGGTTGAAGTGAGATATTAACAACGTTGGATGCCGGCTCAGTAGTCTAGAGGTTAAGTGTATATGCACTAGTCCCTCTCACGGGATCGTGGGTGCGCACTACCGAGGAAATTGATACTAGGTTGGAACGGTCATCCATTGCTTTCAGGTTTCCAACGACGATATTCCCACTTTCATTATTTTCTTGTCACTGTACTGTTTTGAATTGTCACGACATGTGATGACTTAAAATTTAATCAAATTCTGTGTTTTTCATGACTGATTGATAAATTACTTATGTCATGATGAAGTTACTTTATGAAAATTATTTTAATCTGTTGATGGTACTCGTCGAAAACTGGTTTCAGTTGGAGTATCATCACAAACTAGAAAGCACCAGTTACCCAGTCAGTACTGGTATGGAACTTTTCACGCACAATTCTTCCTTGGGATCAAAGAAAAAACCCTCAGGTTTAGTGGTTAGTGCCTAAACATTAATTTTCAATAGAAGCCCAACTGATACCCGGTCATGATGAACATCATATACACTTTATTGATGTATTGGTTAGTCTGGTAAGGAATGACTGTTCCTTTGTGAAAATCATTCAGATTACCTATTCAAAATAGTCATTAGGAAATTGTGATTATTTTTACGAACTGTCGAAAAATGACAACCATTTCAGCATACGGTAGAACATTGAAAAAACAGGAAAAGACAGCAAACAGTGAGGCACTGAAATGAAATCACAAGACTTGGAAAAAGCAGTAGAGCGAAACACAAAATCACAAATTGGGCTGCATTCATTTCAGTGAAAGTAATTACTTAAAGTACAAAATGAAATTCTTTTGTTTCACTAATAAATTTACATAATTTTTCACACTGATATGACTTTTCATTGTTAAGCGATAGTTGATATTATTCACTGTGAGATGATTGTTGGAGGTAGTTGCCAGGCCACCCTGGACCTAGGTTTCGTGCTATTTGATACTAATCAGCAAGCAGTACCTTTAATCTTCAGGGAACTGATTCTCTCTGATGGATTCGATCCCATGTCACCTAGATTCACAGACAGAGACGTTAACACTGAGCTATCCTGGTTGTGACTGACCTCCTGTACGACTGAGATGTAATCACAATTGATTGATCACTGGGTGGTGATCAATGTCATGTGTGTCAGGTCCTTATTAGTGAAGATCGAATCCTATCGACCAAGTTGTAATGTGGCCACTAGTCTAGGGGACTCAACATTACGTGTACTATGTCATAAATTATTCCCTGTTCACTTCTGTCTACTGAATACTTTGTAACTATGATTAAAACATTGATAATCAGAAACTAAAATAAACTTTTGAAATGACGTTATTTGTTTTCTACTGATATCCATGATCATTAACAACAATAATAACAATTACAATAGAGAAAATTGTTTACCGGCAAACGTTTCACTTTATTTCAAGTATTAAATTATGTATTGAATAATCAAACAGAAAGTAGGCCACTGTTCCCCACTCACTCACTCACTCACACATACGTCTATAGTAGAATATACAAACAGATGATACATTTCTTTTGACATATACACATAATGATGAGGTATAAACGATTGATAAACAATGATTAGACAATTGTGAATCAAAGCATAAAACATAAGTCACTTCAATGTTCAAATTACTTTCAGGTGAGAATAAAGGTGACACAAGAAATTTCTTGTCAATAATAGATAAAACAGTAAAACAAATGCGTTTACGTCAGTTTTCATTCATGAAAATAGGCAAGTGAGGACACCAGCATTATTATTATTATTATTACAAAACTACGAAAGAAACAATGCAGAATTGAAATACTTTATAGTATATTACAGCAGAATAATTAACTAGTAACTCTAAAGGTAGAATATGCAATGGTAGTAATAGTAGTTATAAGATCTGTTTTATGATGATAGATAGTACCATATACTTGACTTTCTTACTTCTTATAATCTGAAATGAATGAATGCTTTATAACATTATTCTTAGTCGTATATTCAAGTATTAGTTTGTATAAATGAGGAAGAAGATGAAATCATGTTTAATGATATCTCTCTGTCTTGATCAAATCTATTCATTCTGTCGATAGGATCTTTGTAATTTGGATATCTATCAATATTCAAATCTAAATTTGATCCTTCTGCTAGCACTGGTAGTCGATCTCGTATAGATCCAGGTTTTTGTGATATAATCCTTCGTGTTGACCAATCTGTCCCGAAAGGTCTATTGTGTAAAGTTATTCCATTCTCAGGTTTATGGGCTGATTCATTACATTGATCTAAAGAGGATGATGGTCGATAACCGAACTGAATTGCGTTTCTTGAATGATCATGTAATTGTTGTGGATTCACTGAAATAAAAAGAAATACTTGTAAGACTTAAGTGGAAATATTCAAGATATCCAGAAATATTACTAATGAAATCTTGAAATGAACTTATCAATTTAATGTAATTCAGTAATCAAATATAAGAGGATGTTGAATCATATGTTTTGTGAATTTGTATTTGTGTATGGTTGGTTTACTCAAAGCAAGATAGGTAGGAAGATAATAATTTAAATATCTATGTAGCCTTAAAACTGAAAATGAAACGGAGGATATGGAAGATAGTCTTTGAAATTATTGTAAATTTATTAGTAAGCTGATAAATTATAAAGCGAATACATCATATTACGTTTAAATAAGTCAGTATTCTTATAGTTGAATTTATGAGTCAATTTAAGCTAGATCACCATGAAAAACCTGGAAGAATTGGATGGTCGTTTTGTCCTAGTATAGGACTCCTCATCAGTGCGCACCCACGATCCTGCTCTGCGATATTCGAACCCAGGACCTATCAGTCTCGCGCGCGAACGCTTAACCTCTAAATCACTGTGCTGGCATCAGTGCCAACTATTACTAAAATCTCCATACCCACACTCTGATTATGTGTGGTTACGTTTTTTCTTTACTAATCCAATATATAGTTACCAGTTTAATAACCAGTTACGGTTATTGATGTACTGGAAAGAATGAAACCAGCAGTTCATTGTTGCTATTGTAGATTATCAGAGTATTTATGAAAAATTCAGCTACGTTATTTCCTCACTTACTGAACCATTTAAATTACAAATGATCCATTTAAATATTCATTAAGTGGTTTATCTTATTATGACGTAATCTTTGGTATTTCTTATTTAAATGATTTATCATGGTGTTGAACTGTTTTAAGAAATCAAAATCTTAAACTTGGGCTCAAACCTTTTCTTCATATGATAATATGTCTACAATATTAATTGAATTTATTTTCAACCTCTTACTTACTAACGCCTGTTATCCCTCATGGAGGAGCATAGGTCACCCACCAGCACTCTCCATCTAACACTGTCGTAGACAATCCTTTCTAGTTCTTTCTAGTTGTTATTCATTCTTTTCATATCTGCTTCTATTTCCCGACGTGGTGTGTTATTCGGCTTTCCTCTTTTCCACTTCCCTTCACAATTCCAAGTTATGGCTAGCTTCATGATGCAGTTTGGTGATTTCTTCATTGTATGTCCTATCCACTTCCAGTCTTTTCCTAATTTTTTCTGCTGAAGGTGGGTTTGTCCTCTCCCACAGAAAGGTGTTGTTGATGGTATCCGACCAATCGATGTCGAGTATCTTGCGTAGACAACTATTTATGAATACTTGTACCTCCGTACAGTAGAACTGTCTTGACGTTCTCATTGGAGATTCTGGCTTTGATATTGGTTGACAGACAGTTGTTTTGAGTTTCATATGTTCTTCAATTGTAGTGATGCGGCCCTTACTTTGCCAATCCTCACCTTTACGTCTGCATCCGATCCTTCTTGTTCATTGATGATGCTTCGCAGGTACGTGAAGAATTCCACATTTTCCAGAGTTTCGCCATCAAGTGTGATTGCGTTAGTGTTCTCTGTGTTGTTTTTGAAGATCTTGCTTTTTCCCTTGTGTATACCGATGCCTACTGATGTAGAGGCTCCTGCTATACTAGTTGTCTTCATCTACATCTTTTCGTGTGTATGCAATAGAAGGGCCAGTTCATCCGTGAAGTTCAAATCTTCTAATATATTCCCAGCCGTCCATTGTATTCCGTGCTTTCCCTCAGATGTCGAGGTCTTCATAATCCAGTCGGCCACCAGAAAAAAGATGATGAAAGACAGTAGACAGACTTGTTTGACTCCGGTTCTTACTTGGATTGCATCTATAACTGCTCCTTATTCCTTATTAGTTTAAAAAAGCGAAACAAACTTCATGTGTTTAGTAGTCATTAACTTTAGGAGGTAATTATTATTATCCTAGTTTAGAATTAAAGACCATTGGAACTCAACCATATCCGATTTCAGCCTAGTTACTCACCAATGGTATTGGAAGATAGTTGTTTAATATCTTGAATTGATTGAATTTAAAACTGTAAATCATTGTAAGATATTTTAATAATATAAAAGTTAAGAGTCTACAAGAGATCTATAAATTCTCAGTTTGATTCTTGATTGAACAGGGAATGTATACAGTTGAGGAGACACGTACTAAGATGAAACAGTTGTACAATGTTTCATGATTTACACCATTTAAATAACATCAACACTATTGTGTATACCATACAAAAAAACTGTTTAACAAACAAACAACTTAGTTTTTCAATAGTTAAGATCATGAGCCTATGGAAACTAGATCACTATGGAAAACCTAAAAGCACTGAATAACTGTTTCGTTCTATATGTGCATTTTTGATTAGTGTTCATTGATATAAATGATGTAATACTGTGATACTTTACTTAAAGATTTGATAGCTAGGTGTGCTAAGTGCAATGGAGGTATGAAAATTCAGCCTATAAAACTTCAAGTACAGGGTGATCCAGTTTTTCTTAAAAGACGAATAATTCCTTATGGTCTTCGAGAAGCAGTATATAAGACATTAAACGATTTGTGTGCGAAAGGCATAATTGAACCAATTCAGTCTTCAGCATGGGGTACTCCTATCGTTACGCCACTGAAGTCGGACGGCAAGACCCCTAGAATTTATGGTGACTATAGATTAACTCTGAATTCCCGTTTGTTGAAGCAAACGTGCACGACGGTGGAGGCTAAAGATATTCTAAATCGACTTCATAGTTCTAAAGTGTTCTCGAAAGTTGACCTAAAAGATGCTTATCTTCTTAATTCAATTTGCGTTATTTCTGGGACTCTTAGTTAGTGCGATAATTCCTATAAGTCGAAACATTATAAATACATATACATCATAGATGTAAATATAATCAACTTACCATGATTTGTTACTAATGGAGTAAAATTTGATGAACGATTCTCATAACATTCATTATTTACTAAATTTGAAGTTGGCAATATATAACTATTACCAATTTGTCCATAATAATTATCTGGTATAGGAATATGTTCAATATTTTGATCTTTTTTATAATAATCATTCATTGAAATTGAGGAGGATGTATTATTATCATTTACTGTATTATGTATTCTATTTTCATGATTTGAATGATTGATAAAATGAGAAGTTTTCTAAAAGATTCATTTAGAAATATAAAAAGTATGATAAGTTATTAACATTGATTATTGATTAAAGTTTATAATATGGAGACCGGTTCATGTGTAGCTTCCCTATTGGACAATACTAATGTCCTCTTCCCTATGTTCGAATTGGATAATTATAATGAGGATTTCGTTCTTACTATAAAACAACTATAAATACCTGACAATTTGTAACATTCCTTTCACTTGTCTTTTGTTTTGTCATTTGTGACTTAACGGAGGGGTTCTAGAGTTTGAGTGCTCAAGTTATATGTGGCATATTAAGAATCTAAGCTCTAGATATAACAAATAGATTAAAAATATCTGGGGAAAAAACCTTTTATTCTTAGTTTAAATGAAATGATTGACAAAAGTGAAAAGATCATTCGTTCATTTATAACACATTTCAAGACTATGAACCAAAGATTCTATATAAGAAATATGTAAAGATCTGAATTTTTTCATGAAAGTGAATCATATGATTATAAATGAAAAATTAAGATCATTAAATACCACACAGAGAACACCAACCCAATCATATTTGATGAAGAAACTCTGGAAGATATGGAAACTTTCACATAACTGAGTATCATCATTGATGAACAAGGAGGATCTGATGCAAATGTGAAAATAAGAATTGGTAAAGCAAGGGTGGCATTCCTACAATGGAAGAACATATGAAATTCAAAACAACTATCAACCAACATCAAAGTCACTATCTTCAATACGAATGTCAAGACAGTTAGTTCCACTGTACGGAGCTGAAACTTAAAGAACTACCACAACCATCATCAAGAAGATACAAGTATTTCTAAACAATTGTCCACACAAGATACTCAGTGTCCATTGTACGGATACCATCAGCAACAGCCTACAGTGAGAGAGAACAAACTAACTTCCAGCTAAATATGAAATTAGGAAATGACGTTGGAAGTGAATAGAACATACATTACGAAAATCATCAAACTACGCGTCGAACCAAGTCCTAATTTAGAATCATGAAGGAAAGCAGAAAAGATGGAGGCCAAATAACACACTACGTCGGGAAACAGAATCAGATATGAAAAGGATGAATAACAACTGGAAAGAACTAGAAAGGATTGTCCACTACAGTGTTGGATGTAGAGTGCTGGTGGGTGACCTATGCTCTTCGATGAGAGGTAACAGACACAAGCAAGTAAGAATCATATTATTCAATAGTCTGTGGTTGGTAGTTTACAACTTCAGTTAAATATATGATGTTCAACGATCCTAAATATCTATCTCATTTAAACATATGAAGTTTCTAGGTTCAATCATGTAAGCATTCGCTAATGCTTACTACTTAAGAAGAGGAAGAAATACTTTATTGGATATTCATTAATCAATAGATACCGGTTAACTTTTTTTATCGAATACTAGTTCTTACCGTTTGTGAATCATGTTTAAATAAAGATTTATTTCGTCTTCTTAAGTGTCTTCGACTAGAAATAAAAAGGATAATAAAAGGCATATAAATATATATACGCATTTTATAATAAATATTGAAATATAATTAACATAAATTTCATACTGAGATGCTAATTACAATTGATTGATCACTGGGTGGTGATCAATGTCTTGCTTGTCTAGTCCTTATTAGTGCAGAGTGAATGCTATCGATCATGTTGCAATGTGGTCACCAGTCTAGGTGACTCGACACTGCACTAATAAGGACTAGACAAGCAAGATATTGATCACCACCCAGTTTCCTGTTGACTACCTCCAACCACCATCTATACTGAGATGCTAGATGGTTGGACAAAGACAAGAGAAAACTATGGATCTAAGTTTTATGCTAGTTGACATTTCTCAGAATGGAGTATCAGTAATCGTTAAAGAACTGAATGCTCTCTGCAAGAATCAAACACGTATCATCCAGCGACATAATCTGAAATGTTATCACTGAGTTAATCAGTCTGTAGCTGACTCCTCGTAGAAGTGAAATAGTTACAACTAAGTGATCATTGAATACTGATTAAAATCATATCTATCCAATCTTTTAGAACTGATAATTGTTAACTTGTACGAAACATAATTCCAGGGGTTTCTGTTGGCTACCTCTAGTCATCTAATATATCAATGCAATGGATGTGATATCAAGTCAATTAGACCAATTGCTTCAATGAAACCTTATCGATAAAACTTGATTAGCATGTAAAGGGCTAGACAAACATAATATTGGTCACTATTTAATCACCAATCAATTGTAATATTTAACATTGAACATACTTTTTAAAAACAATCATCATTATTATTGTCAAAGCAACTCAATTACTCTATGTTAAATGAAAAAAAAAAGTATGATTTCAGTGGTTAAGATCATGAGTCAATTGAAGCTAGACGACCATAGAAAACCTGGAAGCACTGGATGGCCGTTTCATCCTACTGTGGGACTCTTTAGCAGTGCGCGTCCACGATAGTTTAAATTCAATGTTATCCATCAGATCACAGATAATCATAATATTCTCGAATACACAGAAAAATAAAGCAACTTGTACTTATTAAAATAAGATTTTCACTTATTACACAGTCACGAATCTTTGATTTAATTTGATGTAAATGGATTTATTCGGCATTAAGAGATATACTGTGGTTGTGGATGATACTTCATAGAAGTATGTCAAATAAAAATAATCATTTTTTAGTTATTAGTTAGTGAGGTAGTGAGGTACATCCAGCTGACAAGTCCCAAATAGGAAGAAACGCGCGTCTTCCCATTTCACTGCTAGCCACTATCCATCTTTGCTTATGATGCTTGTGAATTAAGGTAATATCGAGGCAATACGAACAGGATACACATATAGCAATAAGAGACTGGTCAGTTGTAGTCGTAAACATCAATGGGAAGATTCAAGTAAACAATATCAAGTGCATTTAATCATTGTTACATAGCCATTTTATATTATTCCAAAATCCATGTAAAATTTAGTGTTTTTTTTTAATACTAAAATATCACTTATTCGCAGTTATAGGTTAAACTTTTCCATCTGATACTCTGTTGTTAGGTAAGATATATGATTAGTCTGGTTAGCAATCATATTTATTATCGACTCCTGTAATATCAGTTAAAATCCATCTCTATTATCCTATTATAATCAATTCGGTTATATCAGCACTTCAAAAAGTTATCCCTCACTATATAATCGATGAGTCATGAACAAACGATGCTGATGTAAGTAATATTAACAGTTGGATTCATGAGTCGATCTAAGCTAGATCACCATTGAAAACCTGGAATTACTGGAAGGCCGTTTCATCCCAGTATGGAAATCATCAGCAATGAGCACCCATGATTTCTCACGCGGGACATAAGTATTGAATGGTTAATGACATAAACAAGGAAGTATAATAATAAGTATTTCGGGCCTACTAATCTACATCTATAAGGTGTAAATGAGAATTTAGAAAGGCTGACATCACTTAAACGATTTATATAAGAATCTTTTATTACATCAGTGGCAATCATATTTAACATAGGGATATTTGACCAATGATTTTCACTATTAAAAACTAGATTAAGAATACTAATTCTCATTATATCATATAAATATATATAATGTATTTACACGAAAGACTTCCGCTTGACTCCATAAGACCATACATCTTGATTCAGAACTATTCTTTCTCCACATTGACCTCAGCTCTTACATAACACCACTTTCAAATTATAGAATTATACTCAAGAAAGAATCACTTCACACAATAAAGATTAACATCATTACATGGTGTTGTTTTACTTGTATCTTCCCATTGGTAATTAGGACTGTAATATATCAGTCATATGTTGGCATATGTGCATCCTGTGCGGATTGCTTCGATATAGTCTTAAGTCACAAACGTTTTAAGTAGAGATGGATAGTAGCTAACAGTAGAATCCAGGATATCAGCTACATTCAGCTGACGAGTGGCAAATAGGACGAAACCCGTATCCTAGATTCCACTGCTAACCACTAACCATCTTTGAATAACATCATTAATTCTAAATTAACCATTACAATTAAAAAGATTAGAGTATGTATACCATTTGAAATTACACAAATAGTTTATATTATAACAATAAAATATAGAAAACAACATACTGCATGCTTTTTTGTTGACATTTCCATATTCCATAAAATGTTAAAACACTCATTAATGCACCAAATAATGTGAAAAATACACCACGTAATGTAAGTGTTGTAGTTAATGCATGCAACATAGATTGTAGATCATTTCCACGAGATTCAGAAAAAGCTAATTCCAAATATAAAGAAGGGGGAGCGGAGAGGGATAGGGGGGGGGTAAGTGATAGAAACAACAATATAAGTTTCACATGTATTTATAAATTGACAACATTGATATACACTAATCTATTCAAATAAATATACGAATTGAATAGAATAGTAACTTAATTTTACAGTGTCTATGGCACTTAATGAAATGGTTAAATCACTTGGAAAGAGTTATAAACTTTCTTCTAATATTACATAAATATTGTTCTGTAATCTCAACAGAAAAATATGAATGACTCAGTTAGTAGACTTATTCAACAGATCATATAGAATACTTTGTATAATTTCGATGGAGTTTTGTTTTTTGAGTTGAATGATTTGATCATGAAGTTTTCATCGTTCTTCTGAATGATGTACTGTTGATGTCCTTCAAAAGAACAATGAAACCTTCATGACCAAACCATTCAGCTGAAAGAACAAAACTCCATCAAAATCATTCACCTAAACTACAAATCTTCACCAATTTGTACAATCAATGTTACTAAACCAACTACCATAACACATCAAAACACATACGCATTCACATTGAAACAATGTACACATATCAACTAAGTACACATTGAAAATGAATGATTTTTATAAAGATGATAAAATGATAGTGAAAGTCTTATGTAACAACAAAGTAAACTATTTCAGTTTATAAATCATATCATTATAGCATACTAGGCTAAATGATGTAATAATTATGATAGATTGTTAAGAATGGATATATGAAATGATTTGTCGAATACATCTTATGCTAAACAGGGATTGCTACTATATTACATGAATATGCTTACCAAATAATATAGTATTATATTATAAAGTGATATAACCTACTGAGTTTTTTGTACAAATTAATATAAGTTAGATGATAGTTCGATCATAGAAACAATAATTTCAAAAGTCAACACATTTTGATGGAGTTTTGTTCTCTGAGCTGGATAATTCGGTCGTGGAACTTTTATCGTTTTTCTGAACAACATTATGAGTACAAACTTCAGGTAGAAATGAAGTTTCAACAATAACCAATCAAGATTGAGGTCTAAAGAACGAGCTTTGAGCTATGTGGGGAGAAATTCAAACACTCCACTTCTACTTGAAGTTTGTGTTGATGTTATCTCTCAGAAAAATGATGAAAGCTCCACGACAAAACCATCCAGCTCAGAGAACACAACTTCATTGAAATCATCCACTTGTGCTATAAATCTTCTCCACCATCTAAGATTAACACATTGACAAACAGTATTTTTTTTATTAGTTGAATTCATGAGTCGATCATGAGTCGACCACCATGGAAAACCTGGAAGCAGTGGGACTCCTCACTAGTAAGCATCCATGATTTCGCAAGAATGATTAGAACTCAGGACCTTAACCTCTAGACCACTGAGCCGGTATCTAACGGTGCTAATGTATAGCTTCAACCAATCCACGATATCGAGCGACCGTCCACAAATGTCTTCAGTGAGTAACTGCCTCTAAAACCGACACGGTTGAACTCCACTGGTCACCGATTCTCACTAGGACTCCAGGAAATACTTCATGAAGCTAGTCCCTAGTGAACAGATGATGATTTTGATCAAAATAGGGTTTTGTGAAGATTGTAGTAATTTTTACTAGTTGAAATCATGAGTCGGTTAAAGTTAGGCAACCATAAAACCTTATTCTGATAAGAAATAACATTATTTTACCGTAATTATATCAGAACGTGATGTTGATATTAACTGTCGAACTCATGGTTATTTTAATTGAGATTTTGCAGTCACCATAGGTAGAAGGTACATTTCATTATTATTTATTCAACAAGAATTTAAATTGCATAATGTTTCTTAAACGGCAGTTTTCATTTGATGAAAACGTTTTGTGAATTGATACTACATTAATATGCAATAATCGATGTACAAACTGAGACTGATGTACGCTAATCAATCATCAAGATAAACCAGAATATCGGGTTAAAACTATCGAGACAAATGAATAAAAGGGGTTGAAATAATAATAATAAATATTAAACATTGAGGATATGTTACGAGAAGGATGGAAAGGTGTGTATGAAAGAATACTAAAACTCAATATCTATGGGAAGATAAAGAGTAATTACGCCTGCTTCATCGTGACCGATTCCGCACTTACTAACATAACTGAGTCAAGCAATTAATGAGTTCATGGCCTGTTACAACCCTAGACCACCATTAAGTGTCCAGGTAGGTGGTGGATTGGTCTACGTAAAACAAGTTCCAACTACCTAGATTGAAGAAGATCCAGAATCTCATCGACAAACGTTTCACATTCCCTTAGTAACGTTCTTTGATGTCAGTGCTTTTCACTTATTTATCCCCATATGCATGAGGAGTGCTCCTAAGCTATCTGTGATTAGAAACCTGCAAGTCATATTTCAAAGCTATGGATTAATATAGAGATAACTGTTGTGCAGTATAATCTTCCTTTGATTAACAGATGGACACTTCCCGTGCGCCATATATGACGCAAGGTGATATATAAGAATAATTAATGAGTTAAGACTTCTCAATGACACATAGTCTCTTTTTGATTTGGAGTGAACAAGCTATAAACCTGAATGAAGACAAACTAAGCTAGTTTACGTTGTATGTATGTTGTTCGTACGACTTAGTCTTCAACAATACATGTAAAATCCCAGATATCTAACTCATCACATAGCTGAAGTCAATCCAAAACCTTCACATCATTTCGTATCATTTCTAAACCTGTTTGATTAGGGCAGACCTATTCACAAATAGATAATGGGTAAGTTAATATGAAAATTCACACTGAATGTTGAACAAGTCGTGATTGTGATACCAACTTTTGTAACGAAAATACTATCTTTAAAATGAAGTCATAAAGAAGGTTCCAGTTTGTAAAAGACAAGACTATTGGCATCTGATTGAGAAATACATTATTATAACATATTTAGCATCCCAAATAATGCGTGAAATTTGGGTGAAGCTACAAATAAATGTAATAGTTAAATGATAGTATACAGATTAAGAAATTTATGTTAAAAAGATATACTACTAAATAACTCAAAGTAACATAAATACAACATTGAAATATATATTGCGAACAACATCAACTAAGCGATGCATTTCAAGGGCCATAAGTTTAAAGAAAAAGGTCAATCCATGCAAATATGAGTAGATTATATAATCCCACCTACCAAATAATTATTAATATAGTCCCTAATAATATTACTGAAAGCACAAATAAGGCGCCAAATATCACTAACAATTTTGTTCGTTGAGATAAAGTAACTTCTAAAACTGAAATAGAGCTGAAATTCAGTCAAAATATCAACAACAGAATAATTCAAATCATAATCAAACCAATAAAGTATACAACAGTAGGCGGAACTATACAATTTATCTTTAGTGTATACATATGAAAATTCTTTCCCAATTATTGAACGTTTCTCAACCGTCAACAACATATATGATATTTGAAATCTATTTGAAATTCTTATGGTGGCCTGCTTGAATATTTGGGCTACCTCTTCCTTCGATCTAGATATTTCATAAAGTTATCTGTTTTGTTGTTTGTTTTAGCACATCATTATGTTTATTGTGTGCACAATCTATTCAGGCGCGTTTATGAAAAGTTTAAAACTTTTCGCTGTACGTGATACAAAAAGGTACAATCAGCGACATCATGGTGGCTGGCAATATGCATTGAAACGAATGAACATTAATCAAATGTAGATTACCGAACTCCTAACATCTAACTGGTCATCATTCAAAATTTATCGTCACAATAGATCAAGGTATAAGAAAAGGAAACTTATTGAAATACTTTATGCTGAGAATTCTATGTTGTACCAAAAATATAATGTTGAATAAAGCTTCTAATAATAATAAATAATAATAAGATCAAATAAATAACAAATGATTGATCTGATTAAAAACGTGATCCCTAGTTCTTGGATCGTGTTCGTAAAATTAATTTAGTTTACATACTAATTTCCAGACATTAATTTATGTAATTTAATAGTTGAATTGATGAGTCAATTGAAGCTAGACCACTATGAAAAACCTGGAAGCACTGGATGGCCGTTTCCTCCTAGGATAGGACTTCTCAGCAGTGGGTATCCATGATTCTACCTCACGAGATTCTAACCCAGGAACTATCATTCTCGCACGCGAGCGCTTAACCAGTGCTTCCAGGTCTAGCTTCAATTGACTCATGAATTCAACTATCGAATTACCATAATATCCACAAAACTCTTCTCTGATTCCTTTATGTATTTGATAAATTGCTACGAATAAAATTTCAATTATTCAATCACTTCTACCTAATGGACATTGAACCGATTTAGAATCAGTCTTCATTTCTTGAAAATTGATATTGTTAGCAGGACATAGATTGAATTAAATCATGGTCAATGCACGCTTGCGTTGGCGCACGCTGATGGGATAAGAATTAGTTTGTTGTAATTAACAAATTGAACGAATAGGTATACGAATCATTGATATCTGTGATCTTCTCCTTCTGACCTAGACAAGGACATATAGACTAAGACCTAGAGTAGAATTACAATTAGGTTTCTCCGATAACATTTCTCGTTTATAATCTTTCATCGACTATTAGGCTTTTAGATGGGAATATGAGAACAGACATATAATACGCTTGAACTTCCCCAGTTTATCAACTTTAAAGCTATTGATTAAGAATCATACATGTGGTTGAGGGTCACAATATTAGTCCATTTCTGGTATGAAAATAATCTACGACTTTGTATTTCATATAAAATTCAACAAGACTAATGACTATAATTACCTGAGTAATTACTGGCACCATATTTGCCACATCCTTTAGTGTTGTTCGAATTCTACAGATCAAATTACAGTCTGATCACTGGTCCAAGGGACTTAAGAGTGAGTAAACTATTTTGAGATATTCGTTGATTAAGAGGTAATTGACAGAAAACTTTGGACTTATGCTTCATACTAGTTAATACTCGTCAGCAGGGCATACCTTTGATCTTGAAGGAAATTGGTGTTCCCTGCTGAATTTGAACCAATATCGTCTATTTTCATAGTTTAAGACATTAAGACGAAGCCACTCTAAACAGCTTACTAACGAGCATAAGGCAACACGAAACCATCTAACAAAGTGACAACTTTTTATTTATCCCTATGAAGTACACTGTGAAGTGATGTTTAAGACGAAGGATCAGTGGAAGTCTATTTTGTCCTAATATGGAACTACTCGTCTCTATGAAAAACTGAACCCAGGGTATTCATGTCTGTCGATCAGAGCTTAAGAGACCATACACATATTGATAAACAAAAGAAAGACTGATGTTCAATAATATAACAATATGCATTACAAAGTCACCTTGAATGTTCTCAATTATAATTTTTTATAATTTTGAATATTTTCTTGACATCAGGAAGGGAGTTTTGTAAAGATTGTAGTAATTGTTAATAGTTGAATTAAAGCTAGACCACAATGGAAAACCTTGAAGCGCTAGATGGCTATTTCATCCGAGTATGGAACTCTTCAACAGTGTGTATCTGCGATCCAGCTCACCGGATTCGAGCCCAGAACTCTCGGTTTCGAACTAGCTTCAAGAGGTATTTCTTGAAGTTCTATTGGAAAGCCATGACTAGTGAAGTCAAACTGTGTCTGTTATGATACAGTAATTCACTGAAGACAATGTTGAACAGTAGTACAATTTCGTGGATTAGTTAAAGTTAAACATGAACATGTCATGAAAATTTATACAAAATAGTAATCATGATTGGGGGGAAAAACAACTTATAAACTGATTCATTCAAACAATGAAATACATTGAAAACCTACATTTATATTCATTTAAATCAACTGCCACACGTTCACATTTTGAACCAAAATATGGTGTATAGCAACTAAAGTTTTATGGTCATTGTTAAGGGATAATTTCAATTTTTGTGTATGTGTATGTATGTGTGTGTTTGTTTCAATGGTTAATTAAATAGTATAACACAATGATAATTTAATCAATATAAATATGTATATGAGGGGGTGAGGGTGGGAAGGGAATTTTAAATATGGATTGAAATTTACATATTTCAGTGTATTAGAAAAATGAAAACAAAAGAAAATGAATTAATCACTAAGTATAAAAGGAAGATGATAAATTAAAAAATATAATTGGTGAAATTAGAATTTATGGATGAACCAATCCGATTCAAGATAATTGATTTTAGCGCCAAATTCATTCATTCATTTGATGAAATACCATTTTAGCATGATAACTGATGTCAGTTCGTGATGAGAAATCATAAATCTTGAGATTAGATGGTGGTTGGAGGAGTCGACAGGAAATCCTGGACCCGGGTTTCGTGCTACTTGGCACTCGTCAGCAAGGTGTACCTGTAATCTTGAGGGAACTGGTGCTCCCTGGCGGATTCGATCCCGTGTCACACAGCTTCACAGTCAGATAGCTCAGTGGTAACGTCTCTGACTAATTGCAACATGATCGATAGCATTCGATCTGCACTAATAAGGACTAGACACGCATGACATTGATCACCACCCAGTGATCAATCAATTGTAACTACATCTCAGTCCTACAGGAGGTTAGTCACGGCTCGGATAGCTGACTATGAAGCTGGGTGACACGAGATCGAATCCGCCAGGGAGCACCAGTTCCCTCAAGATTGCAGGTACACCTTGCTGACGAGTGCCAAATAGCACGAAACCCGGGTCCAGGGTTTCCTGTTGACTACCTACAACCACCATCTTAATCTCAATACATAATGGCCGCAGTGACGAGTCACCTAGACTGGTAGCCACATTGCAACATGATCGATAGCATTCGATCTGCACTAATAAGGACTAGACAAGCAAGACAGTGATCGCCACCCAGTGATCAATCAATTGTGAAATCATAAATTTAATTCTCAAACTTAACATTCAACTATAAATTATAATTCTAGTTCGTTACACTAATGCAATCAGTTTATTAAATAGTTGAATATTTCCAAGATCATTTTAGTGTTACTCAAAGGTTATCCATAAATTATAGTCTCACCAAATAATCTTTTTGTTAATAGTAATCAGTTAGATAGTTAGGAACTATGATTCAGTATGGATTAGTATTGTTACGACTATAATAGATGTTTAGGAATGTTGTTAGATAAAGCTAGAAGAAGAAGAAGCGGTAACAACAATTTGTTAGGATAAACACTATTACTTACCATATAGTCCATCGGTATGAAAATGACATCGATCACCGAAATAGTAATCGAGACACCTTTATTTTTTTGAAAGTTTTTTTTTTGGTTTCAAAATAACAATAAATAGTTAGAATGCAAAATGATTGGGTTGATTTTGTCTTGATTGTTTTATTGTTCAAAGCGTCCTACCTTCCATTTATTTATCAGTATAGGATTGTGGAGATTATTGAGTTATTGATTGACATCATGAACCGATCAACGTGAGATCATCATTGGAAACCTGGAAACACTGGATGGACGTTTCGTCTTATTGTGGGAACCCTCAGTAATGCGAACTCATGATCCCGTAAGCGGGACTCGAACCCAGGGCATTCAGCGTCGCGCGCGAACGCTCAACCTCTACACCAATAAGCCGGTATCAAGCGGGGTTAATGTCTCACCTCGACTAATTCATGGAATTGCGCAGATACCTGTCTCTAACTGACACGAATTAGCTCCACTGGTCGCGCCTTCTTATTAGGACTCCGAGAATTCCCTCACGAAGCTACTCACTAGTGAGCACATTTAATTAGTTTGTTTAGTTAATTGTCCAATCTGGTGCAAATGTATATCAATCTAAGCTGTTACATTCCACATTAATGGAATGAAGGAAAAAATGAACAATGTGGAAAGCATTGTGTTATGTTGTGTTGTGTTGTATTCCCAGGAAAGCGTTATCAAACGGTTTTATGTGTATAGGCAGATATCAGTATGGTCAATGATGTGACATAAAAATAATACATTAACCGTGGAATTTTAAGACAATAAAATTATTTGATTGAGATCATGAATCGATTGATGTTTGACCACCATTGAAAACTCGGAATCACTGGACAGCCGTTTCGTCCTATAGTGGGACTCCTCAGCAGTTCACAACCCCATATTGAAAATTATTTGAACCTTAAACTTATTTATCTGTGTGAAGTATGTGTCTAGTGAACGATAAATGGTAATAATCTGTAATTAAAATCTTTAATGATCGTATGAAGATTATACACAATTGTTAATTGTTATTAGTAACATCGTAGTGAACGAGGACACATAAGTGAGGACAATCAAATATATTCGAATACAACATGACAGCATCTCTTAGTAAAATCTAAGGACCCTACAATAAATACTTCAGTTGCAAAATATCTACCAATCGTTTCAGACTTCATAGTTCTTTCGTTTATACACCAATCATTCTCTGCTCTTTGATTTTCTTAACCTTTTGCCACTAGGTATTTCACTTTCAGTTGATGATACATACTACTTATATCTGTCGACATGAGTAGCGTATACTAAAACATGAATAAAAACTTAGTCCAATTAGAGATCACTCTAACTTTTTACATTAACAAGAAACATATATAGGTAGATATTAATGTCATTTCTTATAACTCCAACTATTACTTCACAGACTGTCTAATGTTATTAGTAAGTCTACATTCTCAAATTCATATCAACTTTAAACTTTGAATATGATTATCAAAACTATGAATACACTATTGTGACTAAAAGAATTACAATTTTAGAATCATAATCATTCTACAGTTAATATACATCAATGAAAAAAAATGAAGGAAACGACGCTTACCTGCATTGAAATGATACTCTTTCATTTTTATACATATAACATAGACCACCATTGAGACAGTAATCTTTATCTTCATCTGAACAAGGTATTAATTCATCAACTGAATAAAGTAAAGGAAACAATAGTATGATATATACATGAAATCATTACTTAATCAATATCAATGTATTCTGTTTGTTTAAACTCAGAATCCTGAAGGGAAGCGGAAAAGAGGAAGGCTAAAGAACACATTATGTCGGGAAATAGAAGCTGATATAAAGAGGATGAATAACAACTGGGGAGAGCTGGAAAGGATTGCCCATGACAGGGTTGGATGGAGAGTGCTGCTGAGTGGCCTATGCTCATTCACGAGGAGTAACAGGCGTAAGTAAATAAGTAAACTTAGTATTAATGCTTGCACTTTACTGATCAACTTGTATTGTGTTAACTGGTTTAAATAAGACAGAATCTCGATAACAATCACTGGAATTATCGTATAGTATTAGATATTCATAGCTAACAAGTACCAAACAGAATGTATTCTAGATCCAGGACTTCCTTGTCAATTGTTTTAAACTACCTCATTTCTATCATATAACTTATCTAAGTTTCTGCATGATTATCCAATCAGTTTTCTGTAAATGAAATTACAACAACCGTTTATCCCTAAACTTATAATCTTAGATTTCATTTAGTTTTTCTTATCATTTAACCATCTACAAGAATATTTCTGAATAAAGGATATAATAGTTTAGTTAGTAAAGAAACTTGTAGCGCTTCATCTCACTAGTATGTGTTATTCTTTAAATACTGATAAAATATACTACTACTTACTACTTACGCCTGTCACTTCTAATGGAGCATAGGCCGCCGACCACCATTCTCCAACCCACTATGTCCTGGGAATTCTTTTCTAGTTCCATTCAATTCTTGTTTATTTTTCTGATGTTTATCCCCATCTTTGGTCTTCCTCTTTTCCTTTGGCCCTCAGGATTCCATGTGAGGGCTTGTCTTGTGATGCAGTTTGGTGCTTTCCTCAATGTGTGTCCTATCCACTTCCAACACTTCTTCCTGATTTCTTCCTCCTCTGGGATCTGGTTTGTTCTCTCTCACAGTACGTTGTTCCTAATAGTGTCCGGCCAACGGATCTGAAGTATTTTGTGTAGACAACTGTTAATAAACACCTGTATTTTCTGGATGTTTGCTTTCGTAGTTCTCCAGGTTTCTGCCCCATACAGTAGAACTGTCTTGACATTTGTATTGAAAGTCCTGACCTTGGTGTTGCTTGACAGTTGTTTTGAGTTCCAGATGTTCCACAGTTGTAACTATGCTGCTCTTGCTTTGCCGATCTGCGCCTTCACATCTGTATCAGATCCACCACGTTCATCAATGATACTGACCAAATATGTAAAGGATTTTACGTCTTCCAAATCTTCTCCGTCAATTGTGACTGGAATGGTGCATGCTTTGTTGTATCGGAGAACCTTGCTCTTCCCTTTGTGTATATTGAGATCTATTGATGCTGAGGCTGCTGCTACATTGGTCGTCTTCTCCTGCATTTGTTGTTGCGTTTGGGATAGAAGGGCCAGATCATCTGCGAAGTCTAGATCGTCCAGTTGCATCCTAGATGTCCATTGTATCCCGTGTTTCCCTTCAGACGTTGACGTCTTCATGATCTAGTCGATCACCAGGATAAAGAGAAAGGGTGAGAGTAAGCAACCTTGCCTGACACCGGTCTTTACTTCGAATGACTTTGTCAACTGTTCTCCATACATGATTTTGTACTTTAATCCACCATAGGAATTCCGCATGATGTTGACTATCTTCTGAGGTACGCCGTAGTGTCGAAGAAGCTTCCATAATGCTGTTCTGTTCACGCTATCAAATTTTTTTTCGCAGTCAATGAGGTTGATGTATAGTGATGAATTCCATTCAATTGATTGTTCAACAATGATCCGTACAGTTGCGATTTTATCTGTACACGATCTATCCTTACGGAATCCTGCCTGTTGGTCTCGAAGTTGTGCGTCTACGCAGTCCTTCATCCTGTTTAACAGTAACCTGTTGAAGACTGCCCCTGTAGTTACCACAGTTGCTGAGATCGTCTTTTTTCGGTATTTTGATCAGGAGTCCTTCTTTCCAGTCTTTTGGTACTTGTTCCTCATCCCAAATCTTATTGAAGAGAATGTGGAGTATCCTAGTAGTTACCGCTACGTCTGCTTTCAGTGCCTCTGCTGGAATGTTGTCTGATTCTGCTGCTTTGCCACTCTTGATTTGCCTGATGGCCATGCTGATAAACTATGGAGAATCATTAAAGGTCAAGTATTACTGGGCAGATTTTATGCTTTACATGTAGCTCTTCAGGAATGAGAATACAAAACTCAACCAAAGATAGAACTAATCGCTTTTTTGTCTGGCAGTAACTACCTTAAACTTTTAGGATTTAGTTTCTCTTTAATGATACTGTAGCGAACGAGAACATGAGTGGGGATAACCAAATGTATTACAACACAAATTTACGGAATCACTTGGTAAAATCTGAGAACCATACAATATATACTTCGTTTACAAAATGTCAAATAATTGTCTCAGACTTGACTGATTCTTCTTTTCCATACCAATCACACTCTGTTCTCATCCTATTCTCTTCGATCTTTTTAACCTTACTCCTCCAGGTATTGCACTTTTAATTGATGATACATACTACTTTTATCTATTAACATCAGTAGTACACAACACACTATTTCCATTCACTTAAATGGTTGTATTCCTAATGAAATTAGTCAGACTATTGAATTAACATTCATGTTTAAAGTTCAGAAACTGACTAAACCTATGTCTCTCCAATTCGATTCCATTTCATTCTTTAAATAAATCTATCATTCACACTGTAGATTCATTATTTATAGGATCTCAAGTGCAAATTATAATCATATTCTCAGTTGTTATGACGATTGTATTATTTATTAATAAAATGGATAATCACGAATGTAACGCAAGCTACGTTAATGAATCTTTAGAAGATTTTCTAAAATTAATGATCAAGTACCGGATTTAAAAAGCTTGTAAGCAGACAACAATACTTAGCTACTTACTCATTCATGTCTGTTACCCCTCATGAAGTAAAATAGGTTGCTCACTAGTCGTTCTCCATTCAACTCTGTCCTAGACAATCTTTTCCAATTGCAATTCATTCTTTTGATCTTTGTTTCCAACTCTCCACACAGTGTTTTCCATGGTTTTTCTCTTTTCCGTTCTCCTTCACGATTCCAAGTTAGTGCCTGCCTCGTAATGCAGTTTGATGATTTCCGTAATGTATGTCCTATCCACTTACAACGACTTTTACTAATTTCCTATTCAACTGGAAGTTGATTTGTTCTCTCTCACTGTAGGCTGTTGCTGATGGTATCCGTCCAACGGACATTCAATATATTGCATAGACAATTGTTTTGAAATACTTTTACCTTCTTGATGATGATTGTGGTAGTTCTTTAAGTTTCAGCTCCGTACAGTGAAACTAACTGTCTTGACATTCGTATTGAAAATTGTGACTTTGATATTGGTTGAAAGACAGTTGTTTTGAGTTTCATATGTTCTTCAACCATGGGAATGTCACCCTTGATTTGCCAATTCTTGCCTTTTCATCTTCATCGGATCTTCTTTATTCATCAATGATACTATTCAATTACGTGAATGTTTCCACCTAATCTAGAGTTTCTTTATCAAATATGATTGAGTTGATGTTCTCAAATAGAGAACAATGTTTTATGTTAATTGTTATATGATTTAATGTCCATTATAGATTTTATATTTATCTTAACTAACCCTAGGACTAGTAACATTTGTTTATCTTTCTATTACTTTTAATGGTGATTAAATTCTATCCATCAATGTAATCACTTTACTTAATTGACAATAGATTGAGCTTATAGATGTTAATAAAATGTATCAAATCATTATGAATACAACCTATTTACATATATATATGTGTAGTGATGAAATGATATTCACTTACCCATTAATTTTTCGTCTGTTCTATTATTTTGTTGAACTGGAAAATAAAACAGGAATACGAAAGAACTGACAGTTTAAATGTTATCGTTTACAAGATAACAACAGCTATGTCAATTGTTATTGTGAATTATATATTCAAGGTGATAGTTGGAAATAGTCGATAGAGATCTCTACTATTTGGTACTCATCATCAAGGTATACCTGTTATTTTCAGGAACTATAGTGATCTTTAGAGGATTCATTCACTTAATGTTCAGTTTGATAGTTTAAGACGTTACCACTGAGCTTTACAGGTTACGATTGATATCCTATAGGACTGAGATAAATTTATAATTCATTGACTATTGAGTATTATCCATTGTCATGTTTAATCGAATTCTGGAGATCAAGTTGATCATTAGTTTGAGTAGATTGAAATCAAGTGTAATAACTTATGAAAAGAATTCAATGTGAATTCGATCGAAACTGAAAATAAAACGATTTGGGATACTTGATATTGGTCACTAATCAGTTGTAATTATATTCAATCTTTTTGTGTTTTCTCTAAACCTTGCACAAACATCATATTGTTTTATAAAAATGTAATTTTTATGTGTGACTTAATCAAGTCATTTAGTTCACGAGTAAAAAGTCCTGGGTTCGAATACCGCGAGGCGAAATTATGGATGCGCATTACTAGAGAGCCCCATAATAAGACGAAACAGTCGTCCAGTGCTTCCAAATTTTACATGGTGGTCTAGTTTCAATCAAATCATGATTTTAACTACTAAAATTACTATACTAACCACAAAAACCCCTTCTGATAATAATTCTAAATACTTTCCTTAGTCATACTGTAGTGAATGAGGACATAAGTGGATCAATCAAATATACAAAATCTCTTAATAAAATCTGGGAACCATACAATAAATACTTCATTTGCAAAATGTCAATCGGTTGTCTCAAACTTGACTATTCCGTTCGCAAATGTCAATCAATCGTCTCAAACTTCATTGTTCTTTTGGTTCCATACTAATCATTTTTTGTTCTCGTTCTCTTTCATCAGTCTTCTTAACATTCTGCCGACGCTTTCAATTGATGATACATACTATTTACATCTGTCGACATCAGTAGTACACACCACAATACAACTTTAATGATTAGATCGACAGATTAAACCCAAGATTGATCATAATGTAATCGAGTATAACTAAGCTGCACTAATTGACATGATTACGCTAGACGAATTAACGAAGGGGATAGTAGTCGCCAGAATAATAACAATGGAATATTTATAATTGTAGAGATAATTATACTTATGATGAATAAGAAAATGATTGAAATAATATCTTGTAATGAATTGTTTACCAAAACCAGATATTGAAACGAAGTTATGTAATTATCGACTGAAAAGTCCTGAGCTGAAAATAATTGTCTATTTGTTAGCTATTAAGAAGAGAATAATCAAAAGTAATAAAAATGGCTAATAATCTCCACAACCGTATACTGACAGTTGTCATGTGCTCATTAGTGACTGGCTTTGCTAGGGAAATCTCGGAGTACTAGTGAGAAGGCGTGACCAATGAAGCTAATCAGTGTTGGTTAAAGACAGGTATCTACCTGAGTACAATGGAAGATGGTCGCGCAATTTCGTAGTTTAGTTAAGGTAAGACATTAACACCGCCCTGGGTTCAAATCCCGTGAGCGCGATCGTGGATGCGCACTACTGAGCAGTCCCACAATAGGACGAAATGTCCGTCCAGTGTTTCCAGGCTTTAAAGAATGGCCTAACATCAATCGGTTCATGATCTCAATAAGAAAAATAGCTAAATAATAGTTGTAAAAGCAAATAGGAAATAGTAAAAGTATAATATCTTTTCACAAAAACCATAGATTATGGAATACAGGAAGGAACGTTGAGATCATAGATTAGTATAAGTGACTGAACATACTGTTTTTGTATACAAAAGTTAGGCTTAAACTTGTGGATAACAATATCCTCTTCTGTAACTAAGTTTTTCACTTGAATTCCTTTCGAACCATCTCTTCTGATTGTATGTGTGATCTTAATGGAACATTCAATGAAGCGAAATGACTAGAACTAACTAAATGCTCCAAGATTTAATTCTTGACTGACATCTATAATCCTTTAAAAACCAGCCATGGCAATATTTGGAGTTGGATTACAAAAGAGCTAGCTTTGTGGGCAAGTATTACGCGTTTCACATGAGCAAGTGAACTGATAGATACACATTTATTTGACCCAAAGTGGGAGCTAATCCTTCACAAAACTACAAATCATATGCGAACTAGAAAAGATTTCAGCTGGATGGAATTTTTTGCTCAGAGATCTAGAAAGTCTGTTTTATAGATTTTCTGTTTCAGTATCTTCCTCAAACTTTATAAGCAATGAATGTGATTGTATAGATTAAGTAAATGTGATCGTCAAAATGAAAATTTTTTCACTGAATTGCTTTCATTGTGAGAGTGGTTAGATAATATCCCCTCTGTTCTTCCAATGTACGTGTTACCGAACATATAGGTAACAAAATATAATTGACTGAAGGTAGGTAAAAGAGATTTGTTACCCAAGTCAGTCTTTTATTCCATACACAATTAGCAAAGCGATAGAAAGAAAATAAAACTCAATCGTAGCCCTAAGTAGACGCTCTTGAATCAGATAAAGCTGCTTACTCTCTCCCATCCATTTTCTTCTGGTGGTCGACTGGATTATAAAGAACTCGACAACTGAGAGGAAACATGGAATACAATAGACGGTTGGAAATAAATTAGAATATTTGGACTACACAGATGAACTGACCCTTCTATCCTATACATATCAACAAATGCAGATGAAGACAACTAGTGTTGCAGCAATCTTTGAATCCATAGGCCTCAACATACACAAGGGAAAAAGCAAGATCCTCAAATGCAACACTAGAGCACCAACCCAATCATACTTGGTAGAGAAACTCTAGAAGAGGTAAAAATCTTCACATAACTAAATAGTTTCATTGATGAACATGGAGGATTTGGTGTGGACGTAAAGGCGAGGATTGGCAAAGTAATGACAGCATTCCAATAGTTGAAGAATATATCGAACTCAAAACAACTGTCTTTCAACCAATATCAAAGTCATAGTTTTCAATGCGAATGTCAAGACAGTTAGTTTCACTGTACGAAGCTGAAACTTAAAGAACTACCACAATCATCACCAAGAAGGTAAAAGTATTTCAAAACAATTGTCTATGCAATATATTGAATGTCCGTTGAACGGATACCATCAGCAACAGCTTACAGTGAGAGAAAACAAATCAACTTCCAGTTGAATAGGAAATTAGTAAAAGTCGTTGTAAGTGGATAGGACATACATTACGGAAATCATCGAATCGCATCACATGACAGACACTAACTTGGAATTGTGAAGAGAAAAACCATGGAAAACACTGTGTCGAGAGTTGGAAACAAAGATTTAAAGAATGAATAAGAACTGGTAACAACTTGAAATAATCGCCCACGATAAAGTTGAATGAAGAATGTTGGTAGGCGACCTTTACTTCTCTATAAGGATTAACAGGCATAAGTAAGTATTAAATATCATGGGACTCTTCTCAGTCATCGACACTATATCTCAGAACATCTATTAAATCACTACTCATATAAAATTGTACATACAAATACATACTTAGTATTTTATACACGTATTTCCTTTTTATTGACTTAACGAGAACAAGTAGAGTGATTTTAGCATTGTAACATGAACTCGCTGTACATTTCGAATAATCTGGTCACACACATATGACTTGTCAAGGCATTTTTATATGAAAATTTGTAAAGGTCAATTAAATGAAAAGTCAAGTAAACAAGGTAACATAGGGGAGAGAAAGATTAAGAAATTGTCGCGTTATCCTACACCATAGAATGAGTTAAGGATTACCAAGGTAAATTCAAGGTTACGACAAATTGTTTTTGTACGCATAAGGGGGGTTCAAATTTACGAATAGCCAAGGCTTCGATAAACTTGAGAATTTGTCCTTGACAATTTCTATACAACGTTTTAAAAGCTGTATTAATGTCAATTTTGTGTGTCCATACAAACATGTGAATTGGTAAATACAATGGAATGTGACGTAATCATTAGTGCATTGTTTGGGTCTTTTAGGAATCATGGGCTTAGACTTCTCAATTACAACCAACTGAGCAGCATAATACGTATTCTCAATGGCTGCTTTCAATCTCTGTCTTAAAACTATGCTGTTGGATTCGCCTCTATACGTAGATTGATTTAAACTTTTTTTCTTTGGAACGAAACAAACAAGAGATCTTTGATTTAACTGACTTCTGCACCTATTAGTAAACTTTAAAGGATAACCATTTGCTATTAATGTGTCAGTCAGTAACTTTTCATCTTTTTCCATCGTGTCAGAAGTACAATTTCTTTGAGTCCTCTTAAAGAGACATTGTTTGTGTGGACACATACATAAGGAGGAGTAATCGAACAATGCAACCAAGGGTCAATGAACATGTGACTAGATGGCTTCAAAATCAATATGTGTCAAATGATCCGATCAACGTGGGAGGTAGAAAACCATGTTCATCGATAACGAAACATCTAATTGAAACAGAGCACAAAATTGACATTAATACAGCTTTTAAAACGTTGTATAGAAATTTTCAAGGACGAATTCTCAAGTTTATCGAAGCCTTGGCTATTCGTAAATTTAAACTCCCCATATGTGTACATAAACAATTTGTCTTAACCTTGAATTTACCTTGGTAATCCTTAACTCATTCTATGGTGTAGGATAACGCGACAATTTCTTAATCTTTCTCTCCCCTTTGTTACCTTGTTTACTTGACTTTTCATTTAATTGACCTTTACAAATTTTCATATAAAAATACCTTGACAAGTATACGTGTGTGACCAGATTGTTCGAAATGTATAGCGCAAATACATCACATTTTTCAGATCAACTACGTCTTCTCATTGTTCTATCGAAATTTATAAAAGGGACTAATTACTTTAACATGAACTCATTTTATATTTTGTTGAGCTGC